AAGTCCTCTCACAAATTAAAGCAAAATAAAATATGTATTAAATTATTACAATGAAATTTATAAACTACAGTTATTTTATGCTATAATATAATGTGTTTAGTCCATCATGTTCCAGTGACGAACGAAGTTGATATGTATATGCTCTTGGTTTCATTTACAAAATGTCAATTCGCCCAAAACACGATATGTCACCATACCCGTGCACATTATTCTGGCTCAGGGTAAACATGTCTTAAACAAGTTTGCTCTTACACTTTAGCTTGATAAGTGGATAAGTATATTCCAACTTTAAAATCCATATTTTGACACAGCAGAAGATCGAACTAACCCACGACTTCCAGAACTCGAGATGAGCAAGTAATCACGATATAGGTGGGTCTATATAATCTCCATGGAAACAATACTTGCAAATGCCAATAAATGTCCATACCAAATATCATTTACTTAACATTAGCAGTTCATCTTAAACTGATATAATCACAAACTAATACATGTAAACCAAGCAAAAGTTTCAAAGTCAATAGACCATGACTGAGGGAGCGGGGCCAAATATTCTCCATGGAAATGAGATGTGTTAATGCTTATACAACTGAATACCAATTAGCATTGGCCTACCACTTATGGTTCCCCTTGAACTGACCTAATCACAAACTAATACATGTAAACTAAGTAAAATTTTTAAAGTCAATAGAACATGCATAGGGGGCGGAGCTAAATTATCTCCATGGAATGATATGTGCCTATGCTTATACAACTGCATACCAAATATCATTGACCTGCCACTTCTGGTTCCCCTTGAACTGACCTAATCACAAACTAATACATGTAAACTAAGCAAAATTTTCAAAGTCAATAGACCATGACTTAGGGGCAGGGCTAAATAATCTCCATGGAAATGAGATGTGCCATTAATGCTAATACAACTGCATACTAAATATCATTGACCTACCACTTGTGGTTCATCATAAACTAGACCTAATCATAAACTAATACATTGTTGACGCCGCCGCCTACGCCGGAAACAACATACGTATGTCTCACTTTTTGACTCCGTCAAGGCGAGACAAAAACCTTAAAAGAGCAGTAGCATCATTTTAAAAAGGTCTAAATTCTTAAAACAGTCTTGGATCACGATACCAGTAGAATATGGACTATATTTTTTAGAATTTCGTATCAGATGTCTAAGCCTACCTCCTCCTCCTACTGGTTGTTATTTTAAACTTGCAAGGATAATTAATTGTCTTTGGTTAACTCAAATGTTATAAATCAGAAAACGCAAATACTTCAAAAATTGATATTCACTACTTTGTCTTCATCATGTTCATATTTATCAATTGAATTGCGTTATAATAAACTTCATACGACATACGTTATCGTAAAAAAACAAATTCAATTTCACTCACGGAGCCTATGTCATGTATTTATAATCTTAGGAAAGCCAACCAGAATAATCCCTGGCATTTGTCATTTACAAATTATTTCTTTGTGTACCTTAACTATCCTTCGAAAGTAACAGTGCAATTATATTTTATAAATATAAATATTGCTGATCAGAAATACAGTTGATAGCGACTTGAGGTCTTTGTGTTAAATCAGTTTTAGATAATAAACTTCCTGTATGCAAGATACATAAAATATAGTGTACTTTGTATGCAGCTTCTCATTTAGGTTTATAAATTAAACATTAAAGTTCAAAAGCATTACCAGATTCATATAAAACCACTATGTCTGTTACTTGGTTAATTGAAAAAAATACATATTTGAAATTTTCAATCCTATTTCAAACAGTGTTCGGAAATTACAGAATGTTCTTCGTGTGAATAACCGAATGGATCAGTTTGAACGTAATAATAAAACCAATAGGAAATAATATGAAATGTGTTTGAATCTTATTTATTAGAATGTCTCCTTTGAAGTGTAGTGTCAGTGAGGAAAAATACAACTGATTTGCGGAAAGTGGAGAATCAGGTGTTGACGTACTTAATATGTTATTAACTGTAAAGTGACTGTTACCGACTCTATGGGTATGATCGTGGCAATTGTTTTGTTAGAACATAGAATAATTTGTAACTCTAAACATGAGACAATTAATTTCAAAAGTTAATGTATGGAGGTGAAACGATAAAGCTGTAGTTCCAAAACACGGTCTATTGTAATTAAGTAAGAATTTCAAAGATTGTCGCTATTTTGTGTATTTTTCCTTTGATCTTTTTTGTGATAATTTTTAATTCATATTAAGCATATGCTTGTGATAGAAAATTATCGCTAGAAACTAAACGTGCACGTGTCGTTGTCAATGTGATCACGAATGGCCTCAAAGTTAGCAATAACCAGATTATCAATGGTCTTTTTCTAAGTCGAGGATGTTTCTCGGCCACATTTCATCTCGAAGCTGTCACCCTTCGACAAGATAGTCAATGATTGTAGCTGAAAAACACCATCTCGTTTGAAAAACCATCGATAATGTATAATCATTGTGTATGTGCATGATATCAAGCAGCCAAGAAAGTGTCGAATAGACAACTGAGATTCGTCTATCGAACTGTTCAAAAACCCTGTTAATCTGCAATTAACCAGCAAGGTATCATTTTAATACATCTTGTGTACCCATCATTACAAAAATAGTAGAAAAAAAGAAAGTTGATCCTGGTCATTAAGGTTGATGTTTTAGAACGATGTATGCAGTGTTTTGTTTTAATATTCATCCATTATGAATATCTGCACAAAAAGTCGCATGTACCTCAGAGTGAAAATTACCGAATTACGCTGAGAACATGTACATGTTAAACGGTCTGGGTGGGATTGAGAGTAATGTCTAAAACGTTATTGAATAGTAAAAAAATAAGCAAAAAAAATAATAATAGAGAATCATGGGTTCGAAGTATAAAGAATAACTGTTAAAAAGTAAAGAAGAATTAGACAATATAATACTGATTACAGAAATGATGGATGCACAGAAAAAAGAAATCGTCTTATTATAACACGATGTTGACTGCTGTACCTCTATTTTTGACATTTTTACCTATTATTTCTGTTTGTTTTGTTCACACATTGTTGTCAATATAACGGAATTTAATATGACTGTCATACAAGCGAGAGGTTTAGCTACCTATAAAACCAGGTTTAATCTACCATTTTCTACATAAGGAAATTCCAGTACCAAGTCAGGAATATTACAGTTGTGTTCCATTTGTTTGATGTGTTTAAGCTGTTGAATTTTCCATTTGCTTAGGGACTTTCCGATATGAATTTTCCTTGGTGTTCGGTATTTTTGTTATATGACTTCTTATTCATGCGTTATTTCAGATGAATTTGATAGTTATTCATGCGTTATTACAGATGAATTTGATAGTTAAGTAATGTTTATAAGAGTTCTACATAATAATCATTATTTTCCCGTGACATTTGCAAATAGATCATTGCAATTATAAAGGAAGCGTACATTTCACGCTTGATTTAATGTTCCATTTTTTTTTTTTTTTTTTTTTTTTGACGAGCGGAACCGAACTCTTGCCGAGGAATTAATTTAAACAAGTAAAGTTTCTGTTGTCAGTGTATTGGGTATATCATGACAGAACATTTGTATTGGTGGAAGAAGCCAGAGCACTTTGGTGAAACCTTCGACAGAAACACTGGTAATTTATGTAAATTATGATCAGAATCGAGCACGCCTCGCCACGAGCGGACATGGAACTCACAGCCTTGGTGTAGAAAATATAGTGATTACTGTAGAACACTTTCCACCATAACCATGTTGGTCTTTACCTAATGATGAACCTTCTATGACATTTTTTTAAACGGAATTGACACAGCTTCAACTGTAAATCACATTATTTTAAGACTAATTCAAAACAGTAATCTAATAATTCTACATGCAAATTTCCTATCATAACAACAGTGATTTTTATGGAAATGTTTTTTATGCAAATGAATTTTAAAGGATTATGCATCAGCATATGACATTTTATAATCTGTGTTTATATTTTTAATGTTATACATGTTAATAGCATAATATATTTATAAATATCTTAACATTTGCATATTTTTCAGTAATAGGCTTAGCTGCGTCATTTCTTATTCATTAGTTAACTGGCTTAATTTGGAACTAAAACAATTAAACTTATGCGCAGCAAAAAAAAACAGAAGTTTTATAGAGGGCATAATTTATGATCAAAGTAAAATCTGTGTAAACCCTAAATTATAGAACTTGTTTGTCTGTGAGCTTTTGTTCTCCTAAACAGACTATGCTAATATGTTTCCGACAAAAACGAGTCAGAGTCTTTATAATTCTAAAGGATTATGAATCATCATATGACACTTTATAATCTGTGTTTATGTTGTTAATGTTTTACATGTTAATAGCATATTATATATTTAAATCTCTTAACATTTGCATATTTTTCAGTAATAGGCTTAGCTGCGTCAGTCCTTATTCATTAGGTAACTGGCTTAATTTGGAACTTAAACAATTAAACTTATACGCAGCAAAAAAAAAAACAGAAGTTTTATAGAGGGCTTCATTTATAATCAACGTAAAATCTGTGTAAACCCTAAAATATAGAACTTGTTTGTCTGTGAGCTTTTGTTCTAAACAGACTATGCTAATATGTTTCCGACAAAAACGAGATAAGCATGTTTAAATTATTATGCTATTTAGTGTTTTGAGTTCATGGTATTGATTTGTTATATAAAATGTCTTTAAAGTGAATCTTGTTTTATAAAACTTATTTTGCAACAAACGTTGTGGTCAAGTGCATGGGAATGACCCAACTGTGTAGCTGAAAAGTATCTATCTTGCTGTACGTTTGTATTTTACTATTTTTCTAAGCCGCATTGACTACAAGAGCCTTCATGCATGATGGTTTTTTATGTGTTTTATTTATTGTCACAATTTTCTTCTGGTTTTTTTTTCGAAGATTTTAGTATCATTTCTTTCAGACAACATTCATGAACAGATTCTTATCTGAATTTTATGTTTCTTTAAAATAACCAAAGCCTAATAAATGTATTTGATTTTATTATAATAATTGTCATTGTATAATGTCAGCGGCACTCATGCACATGTATAAAGCAATATTTATTTTGTTTATCTGACAATTAATGTAGAATATTGAATTTATAAATAAATATAAACACACATTTGTATCATGTTTCTTTGAATGACCATTCATGATTCTTCTTATCATAACATATTTGTAAAATAGGGTGAAAGAGCAGATATCAAAAAATACAACATGCATATTGTATTTAAAAATAATAATAAAGTTAACACTATAAAAATATGAAAAGTAAGTTAATTTGTACAAAAAGTAAAGCTGAACAAACACTGAAGATATTTAAGTACGTTTAGAAACATTTTTCAGTCCTGATATCTTGAGTACCCATGCATCTACACTTGGCATCAAGTTTATAGGTATTGCTGGTATAGTAACATTTATTCCTCCATATGAGTTCGGTCTCCAAGAAAAGTTGCCATTATATCCTAACATGCTGACAACGGTTGTAGTTGTTGTCATAATTGTTGATCCTAGGGTTATGGTGTTGTTGTTCCTTGGCCAGGATAACATGATTGCATACACAAATACATCTTGTTCAACCATATTGGAGGTGTACCTATAAAATTATTGTCATACTAAAATTTGTAATTATTTTGTTAAATTATCTTATTAACTTGACTAGTTAATATGGTATTCTGATTATATAGTTAATGAATAAAATACAGATATCTCTGAAATATTAAAAGCAATGTTCATCGTGAAGAACATATTTTCGATTGTACTGATAGCCTGGGATCCTGGTTCACAGTTCGGTAGTTGCTTACCGATGAGCTTATCGAAATGATACGGAGATTGAGACGAATGCTCATTATCAACTGAACATAGTAACGTTCATTGTATTAAAATGTTACCGGTTGTCTTTCTTTGTCAGTAAAGAAAGAAACATAAATATTCGATATAATAAATTTCAAACGTAGTTTTTGTGCCAGGCATCAAATAAAACTTATTCAACCATATTGGAGGTGTACCTATAAATTATTGTCATACTAAAATTTGTAATTATTTTGTTAAATTATCTTATCAACTAGACTAGTTAACATGGTATTCTTCTTCTCATATATGTTATGATGGTATGATACTAAACCCCTAACGGGAAGGATTGTGCCTGATATTCATATGATGAAGACATAATCTTTCAATCAGTTTAATTGAAGATATAGCTGGCATGTCAGTTAACTGCTAGTAGTCTGTTGTTATTTATGTATTATTGTCATTTTGTTTATTTTCTTTGGTTACATCTTCTGACATCAGACTCGGACTTCTCTTGAACTGAATTTTAATGTGCGTATTGTTATGCGTTTACTTTTCTACATTGGCTAGAGGTATAGGGGGAGGGTTGAGATCTCATAAACATGTTTAACCCCGCCGCATTTTTGCGCCTGTCCCAAGTCAGGAGCCTCTAGCCTTTGTCAGTCTTGTATTATTTTTGATTTTAGTTTCTTGTGTACAATTTGGAGTTTAGTATGGCGTTCATTATCACTGAACTAGTATATATATTTGTTTAGGGGCCAGCTGAAGGACGCCTCCGGGTGCGGGAATTTCTCGCTGCATTGAAGACCTGTTGGTGACCTTCTGCTGTTGTCTGTTCTATGTTCAGGTTGTTGTCTCTTTGACACATTCCCCATTTCCATTCTCAATTTTATTCATATTATATATTTAATGAATAAAATACAGATATCTCTGTAATACTAAAAGCAATGTTCATCGTGAAGGGATCCTGGCTCACAGTTTGATAGTTGCTTACCGATGAGCTTACCGAAATGATACGAGATTGAGACGAATGCTCATTATCAACTGAACATTATAACGTTCATTGTAATAAAATGTTACCGGTTGTCTTTCTTTGTCAGTAAATAAGGAAACATAAATATTCGGTATAATAAATTTTAGACGTTGTAGTTGTTGTGCCATGCATCAGTCTACATTTAGTTTGTTCATGTACACTGTAAATGAAATGGTTATGTCAGATTGTTTGAACTCATGAGTTCAAAGTGTTGATAGAATAAAATTATTATCATAATAACAAAATGATCTAATGTATGGTAGTGTTTACAGGGATAGCGAAATTGAATTTCTTACCAAACGTCTTTTGTTACATTGTCACTTTGATATAACCAGGGTCTGGAACCATAAATGGCTTCTCCGTTGACTTCAAGCCATCCACCAAGTTTCAGCAATATATTCTGAAATACTGGTGTGATTGTGCCTTCTTTTGTTATCCCAACATTAATCAATATATTTCCACCACAACTGTAAATCAAAGGAAATTAATCAGTTCTAAGATTATTGTTGCATAGGTAATTGTTTACGAACACTATTTTTTTGTTGTTGTCTTGATTGAGAGGTTCACCACTAATTCCGCATTATTATAATGAAAAACACATCACCGTTTTAACATTTATTCTATCATTTGTAATACATCATACATACAGATCAATTCTAAAACGTGATCCTTAATCAATTTTACCATTCATATTTATAGGGACAAATAAAGTATAAAAGCACGAGATATTTGTGAATATAAAGTTGCAAAACAATGGAATGAGTTTCTGTAACAATTAACGGAGATACTCAATAATAATTAACGGAGAAACATATAACAATTAAAGGAGATGTTTAACAGAGACAAATGTTAATCAATGGAGCAAGTTTCATGTAAAACAAAATGTCAAAGGAGAAAAAACGTTTAAATAATAATAATGCTAATTGCGATTCGCGACAATTATTGTAAAATTAAGTAATTTATTAAGAATTACAAGTCATTTTGATCAAAGTTATCTCGTAGCAAAAAATAGTAGCAAAAGAAAGTTGATCATGCTCATTAAGGTTGAAGTTTTGGAACGATGTATGCAGCGTTTTGTTTTAATATTCATCCATTATGAATATCTGCACAAAATGTTACATGTGCGTCAGAGTGAAAATTACAGAATTACGCTGAGAACATGTACATGTTAAACGGTCTGGGTGGGATTGAGAGTAATGTCTAAAACGTTATTGAATAGTAAAAAAATAACCAAAAAAAAAATAATAATAGAGAATCATGGGGTCGAAGTAAAAAGAATAACTGTTAAAAAGTAAAGAATTAGACAATATAATACTGATTACAGAAATGATGGATGCACAGAAAAAAGAAATCGTCTTATTATAACACGATGTTGACTGCTGTACCCCTATTTTTGACATTTTTACCTATTATGTCTGTTTGTTTTGTTCACACATTGTTGTCAATATAATGGAATTTTATACGACTGTCATACAAGCGAGAGGTTTATCTACCTATAAAACCAGATTCAATCCACCATTTTCTACATAAGAATATTCCTGTACCAAGTAAGGAATATGACAGTTGTTTTCCATTTGTGTTTAAGCTTTTGATTTTGCAATTTAATAAGAGACTTTCCGATTTGAGTTTTCCTTGGTGTTCGGTATTTTTGTTATTTGACTTCTTATTCATGCGTTATTACAGATGAATTTGATGGTTATTCATGCGTTATTACAGATGAATCTGATAGTTATTCATGCTTTATTACATATGAATTTGATAGTTAAGTAATGTTTATAAGAGTTCTAAATAAATTACAAGTTATTTTGATCAAAGTCATCTCATAGCAAAAAAATTAGAAAATCCATACCATAAAATGTTAAAAAGGACATGCAGGGTATATGTGTCAGTGAGAAAGCTACCCAACAATACAAATAACCAAATTACATCTAGAAGGCAACATAGAGTTTTCAACAATAGACGGATGAAAGGCAGTGAACATTTTTGATAAGGACTGATGAATCCTTGTGGCTGAGGTCTATACTAATCTAGCATAATCTTACTTATCAACAAATATTGAAATATAACAAACAAAATTTATATCTTTTTATTTAAATAGAAGTAAAACAGACATTTATAATAGCCTTATAACTAATGCTTGCCGCTGAACAATTAAAGGTACGAGGTCAGGTGACCACTGCCATACGATGGTGCGTATTTTCAACAAATTAAGAAGTAGTAGTTGACCTGGTACTCATATTAAAAACCAAACTTAATCTATCAAAAACTGAAAGTGAATCAATAAACCAAACAAGGAGATTCAAGCTAAACCCGTTTGAAGGGCCATATATACTGTACGTCTGCACCACAGGTTATTTTAACATGAAGCTGGGTCGATAACTAGATATTTGTAGATTGATTGTTGCAAGATTGATTGTCGGCGACTGCGACGGCATGTAGAATTGATAACATATTTCTAATTACAATAAGTCATCTACGAACCACTCAAAAGAGTTGTGGCAACGGTCCTGTTACGTACAGTGAATGTGGCATTCAAGCTAATGTACCCATTATGACTTGCAAAATTATCAACCGAACAGCAAAACGGACGCCCAACTTTGCATGGGCTTTACTGCCGGTCAAAGGAAGACCTTTCTAAGAAAACAAAACAGATTTTGGGGTATAATCTCCTATCCACGAATAAGTATATCTATTTAGTATTAATATACAGATATGTACTTAGGGAATCTGAGTACACATGTACAAATAACAATAACAATAAAAATATAAATGATTTCAATACACACCTGACAGTTTGAGCGACCTCTGTCAACAGTTCATGTACAGAAAAGTAATCAGCAAGTTTAGCATTTCGTCTGTATCCAGCGGAGTAACGATCGAGTGTCATTACATTCTCCCATTTTCTCTTATGTAGTACCTCTGTTCAAAAAATTAAAATATTACGTAAACGAATATAACATTGAATTATCAAGTCCATTGGATTCGAGTTATCACATATGATATGAAATCTAAGTAAACAGTCGTGTATATACTTACAATTTATATATTTTCTATCGTGTTACGAATGTTTAAGTACAAAAAAAAAGATTTGAAGATGCTATCTGAGCATACAGTGGCAAATACTACCTGCATACTCAGAGGAAAATAAATCTATATTCAATTCATTGTTATAAATCGTTTTCTTATATATAAAAAACAAGAGTGCACACGCTGAAATGTCTCGCCGCCTTTACTAACCATTGATATTATGTTGATAGTCTAAATATAAAGCTTTACTACAACTATCACATAAACTTACCATGATCCAAGAAAATGAGGTCAAGGTTATATAAACCAAACAAGAAATACATGTACACCTTACAATCATTCAATACACTAAATATAGTTGACCTATTGCTTATAGTTTCTAAGATACAGACTTAACAAAGAAAACTAAACATTGACTAATCAACGATAAAAATGAGGTCAAGGTCGGATGAACCATGCCAGGCAGACATGTACAGCTAGCAATCCTTCAATACAACAAATGTTGTTGACCTATTGCTTATAGTAATAGAAAAACAGACCAAAACACAACAACTGAGCTATGAACCGTGAAAATGAGGTCAAGGTCAAATAAAACCGGCCAGACTGACATGTACACCATAAAATATTTCCATACACCAAATATAGTTGACCTATTGCATATAGTATTAGAAAAAAAAGACCAAAACTCAAAAATTTAACATTTACCACTGAACCATGAAAATGAGGTCAAGGTCAGAAGACACCTGCCAGCTAGACATGTACACCTTACAATCATTCCATACACCAAATATAGTAGACCTATTGCATACAGTATAAGAAAAACAGACCAAAACACAAGAATTTAACACTGATCAATGAACCGTGAAAATGAGGTCAAGGTCAAATGAAACCTGCACGACTGCATATAGATCATAAAATATTTCCATACACCAAAAATAGTTGACCTATTGCATATAGTATTAGAAAAAAAGGCCAAAACTCAAAAATTTAGATTTGACCACTGAACCATGAAAATGAGGTCAAGGTCAGATGACACCTGCCAGTTGGGCATGTATACCTTACAGTCCTTTCATCCACCGAATATACTAGACCTATTGCTTATAGTATCTGAGCTATGGACTTGACAACCAAAACTTAACCTTGTTCACTGATCCATGAAATGAGGTCGAGGTCGTGTGAAAACTGCCTGACAGGCATGAGGACCTTGCAAGGTACGCACATATCAAATTTATTTATCCTATTACTTATAATAAGAGAGGATTTAACATTACAAAAAATGTTAACTTTTTTTTCAAGTAGTCACTGAACCATGAAAATGAGGTCAAGGACATTGGACATGTGACTGACGGAAACTTCGTAACATGAGGCATCCATATACAAAGTATGAAGCTTCCAGGTCTTCCACCTTCTAAAATATAAAGCTTTTAAGAAGTTAGCTAACGCCGCCGCCGCCGCCGCCGGATCACAATCCCTATGTCGAGCTTTCTGCGACAAAAGTTGCAGGCTCGACAAAAAATCGTAAGGGTTCCGCGGAACCAAGTGTCTCGCCTACTTTTGCTGTTAGTCCTAGGCTCAACAAAAATGGGGGAAAATTTATTAAATATTTTCCTCTAGATAATATCTTTTGATTGTAAGAAGCTTCTGTCCAAGATTGGTAAAAATCCAGGATGGTTTATTAATCTAATAATGTTTTAAAAAGTTTCTTTAACTGCAGACTGTATGTAATGTTAACTGGAAGAAAAACTAAGTCCATTTATAAGTAATATATGGAACAAGAGTGCACATGCTGAAATGTCTACCCTTCTTTACTAACCATTGATTTTATGCTGATAGTCCTAAATATAAAGCTTTACTACAAGTAACACATAAACTTAACATGATCCAAGAAAATGAGGTCAAGGACAGATAAACCAAACAGGAAATACATTAACACCTTACAATCATTCAATAAACCAAACATAGTTGGCCTATTGCTTATAGTTTCTAAGAAACAGTCTTAACCAAGAACACTTAACATTACCAATGAACCATGAAAATGAGGTCAAGGTCAGATGAACCAAGCCAGACAGACATGTTCACCTTACAATCAAATGTATGCATTAAATATAGTTGACCTATTGCTTATAGTAACTAAGAAACAAACTTAACCATGAAAACTTAATATTGACCAATGAACCATGAAAATGAGGTCAAGGTCAGATGATACCTGCCAGACAGACATATACACCTTACAATCCTTCCATACAACAAATATAGATGATCTATTGCTTATAGTTGAAGAAAAACAGACCAAAACACAAAACCTTAACACTGAGAAATGAACCGTGAAAATGAGGTCAAGGTCAAATAAAACCTGCGAGACTGACATGTACATCATAAAATATTTCCATACACCAAATATAGTTGACCTATTGCATATAGTATTAGAAAAAAAGACCAAAACTGAAAAACTTAACTTTGACCACTGAACTATGAAAATGAGGTCAAGGTCAGATGACATTTATCAGTTGGACATGTACACCTTACAATCATTCCATATACCAAATATAGTAGACCTACTGCTTATAGTATCTGATATATGAACTTGACCATGAAAACTTAACCTTGTTCACTGATCCATGAAATGAGGTCGAGGTCAAATAAAAATTGTCTGAAGGGCATGAGGACCTTGCAAGTTACGCACATACTAAATATAGTTATCATATTACTCATAATAAGAAAGAAATTAACATTACAAAAAATATTGACTTTTTTTTTCAAGTAGTCACTGAACCATGAAAATGGGGTCAAGGACAATGGACATATGACAGACGGAAACTTCGTAACATAAGGCATCTATATCCAAAGTATGAAGCATCCAGGTCTTCTAGCTTCCAAAATATAAAGCTTTTAAGAAGTTAGCTAACGCCGCCGCCGCCGCCGTCGCCGGATCTCTATCCCTATGTCGAGCTTTCTGCGACAAAAGTCGCAGGCTCGACAAAAACAGGAAATAATTTTTACAAAATTTCCTTCTAGATACTAGCTTTTGATCATAAACAAGCTTCTGTTCAAGTTTGGTACAAATCCAGGATAGTTTAAGAAAGTTATTAATTTTTTTAAAACTTTAACCACAGAGTGGATGTAATGTTAACTGGCAGAAAAACTAAGTCCATTTATAAGTAAAGTACATAAAGTACGGATAAACAGGATTTTTTTTTTAAATTTACTTCTGGATACTACAATGTATCTTATGATCATAAACAAGCTTCTGTCCAAGTTTGGTAGAAATCCAGGATAGTTTAAGAAAGTTATTAAAATTTAAAAAAACTTTAACCACAGAGTGAATATTTGTGGACGCCACCGCCGCCGCCGCCGACGACGGAATGTATGATCGCTATGTCTCGCTTTTGTGACAAAAGTCGTAGGCTCGACAATAAGAAGATGTGGTATGATTGCCAATGAGACAACTCTCCTCCACCAGAGGCCAAATGACATAGAAGTCTCATGTGTGTTTTTTTAATTTTTTGATTAATGTGCAAGTTTACACGAGTAATACAGGAAGACACGTTATTTGACCCGAATACAACATTCTGATCCCGAAAGAGCCAGTATTCAATCCTTCGTGTCCTTAGTCCTTGTGCAGACGGCCAAAAAAGATGTTTAATATTATATTTTTGGTTTGACCAGACTGTGGATCTTTTCAACAAGCTTTTCCACTATAACTCGAAGCAAGGGTGCTAACAACAAAACCGTCGATAAGGTTAAAACTTAAGATATACTGCATTTACATTAAGGTGGTACCCAACACCTTGACTAATATTAATTTGGCTCGTTTAATTTTCATAAAATTTTGACAAAATGTTTACTTTGACCCTTTGACAAAAATATAAAAATTTCAAAAAATTTGAACCAACCACTTTATCAGAAAAATTTCATTGGTTATATATATAGCAGTTTGACAAACACTTATTTTGATCATTGAGAAGCTTAATATTTCCATAACAATACAACGTGATTAAAACGTTTAGCTGATTTTTACAGAGTTATCTCCCTGTAGAGTTAGGTACCACCTTAAGTTGCAAGTCAAAATCATGTCACCAAAAAAAACTTAATAAAGTTAATAAATCTACCACTAACTTGGATTGAATCTGTCTCCACAATTCACAAATCCACCATGTATACAGTTGTCATTGACACCCCATCTATCATTGGTCACAACATAGTCTTTAACTGGACTGTAATAATATAATAATTAAAATACATATATTGTTACAAATTACTACAATTGTTTGTGTAACCGAGATAACCAACAATTTTCGATAAGAGTCATTTATGAACGAGGGTCTGGATGGAGATCCTTCAATTCTTTATTCTTTAACTTTTTAAACCATTTTTCTCTTTTCTTTTTTTTATTTTGACCATTTTTCTCTCTTCTTTATATTTTTTGCGTATTTTTCTTTATCTTGTATATTTATTGCCCTTCATTTTGCATTTTTTGCCCATTGTTTTCAATTCTGTTAACTCCATCCAGACGTTTATTCAAACGTACATTTGCAGAGGAAAAGGTATATAAGAAAACATGTAGTGTGGTTAGGGGGAGCGCCCACAAACATGTTTCACCCCGCAAAATGCATGTCCCTGTTTCAAGTCATAAGCCGGTAATTCAGTGGTTGTCGTTTGTTGCTTACTGTATTTCACATTTCTTTTTTATTTTGTACATAAATCAGGCCGTAAATTTTCTCGCTTGAATTGTTCTGCATTTGTAATTTCGGTGCCTTTTATGGCTTGCTATGCGGTATGAACCAACGCCAACCACTGAACTATAGGCTCCTGACTTGGGAGAAAACACACAAAGAATTTGGCGGGATTAAACACTCAACACTCACCTTAACCTGTGACTGGTACATTAAGATAAGACCGCTCTTTCTATTTCAGACGATAACCTATTAGATCTACGATACATGTGAAGAGAAGAAATTGTTAAATTATCATGTAGGATATTTTTATTCTCCTACAGGATTATGACTTTATCCTATATGATTTCTTATAATATTCTATTGGAGAAAATAATATCCTACAGGATAAAAAAAATTGTAGTGTTTTATCTATTCCCAGAGGTACATTATTGCCAAGTTTGATGATTCTACCGTAAAAAAAATGTGGATCCAATTTGCACTCATGAGAAGTGCAAATTAATCGAAGAAACTGTTCATTCTTCTTACCTGTCGTTGTAAAGCCAAGCAAGAAAATTTGTAGCGTTCCAGTAGTCGTCCTTGGCAGCATGTGAACCATCTGACCATATTATTTCCGGTTTGTACTTATTGACAATTTCGTACAGTTCTGGCATTGTCTTCATCTACAAAGGATGGAATATAGATAAATAATTTTATTTGACCTTTCTTGCTCAGTAATATCATCTGACCATTTTAGCGATCATAATAAAACTAACAAGATCGCATTTATTGATTTTTGCATGGCAAACATTAAGTGACAAAATTTCAGCGCGACAACAAATTAACAATAATTCTATTAACATGATTAAGTAGGTTCTATAAACAATGTCGACCGGCATAAAGGGTAGAAAACTGGACTGCTACATTGTTCCTTGGTGTACAGAGAGTAGGAAACTCTCCGTATACGAGTTCTTGGTTTTAACATTCCCTTATGACCGGACGTGGCTGCGTATTTATTCATCCTGCGCAGCCGAACGGACGCTCCTTTCTAAGTAGGGTTTAACAGTCGAGTAAGAGAATTACAGGTGTACATAGTTCTATTCCCCGCTCAAATCTTCGGGTTAAAAACAAAAGAGCTAAAGTTAAAAAAAGCGATAATTCAAACAAACAATCTTGTATTAAAAGAAGAAAAGTTAAAGTATTTCAAATACAACAGCCATGTGCTTTATCCACACAGCACAATATCACGAAGATGATGGGGATGGGGATAAATTAATGTTTATCGTCCAGTGGCCAATACTACATGCATATCAGGACGAGAACATGTTAATGTGATATGAATATGGAACCCTTCTTTGTACTAAATAAGTTTATTGTACTATACCGACACGCTGAGCGGAATTTTAACCTGCTAGTTAATAAGGTACATGTAACTATGACAACCGCTATATTACTCTACCCGGACCCTTAATTAAAACGCCGGGTAGACCAGATTCATATCTTAAATACTCCATACTTAGCGGAGAAGTAGCAAAAAGCAATTTCCAAGATTTTGGTTTGACCTAACCGGGGATCGAACCCAAGACCTCCGACACTCCAGGCCAGCATGTTAATACGAGACGTCTGACAGCATTAGAGAACAGGTCGGTAATGATTATAAATAGTGCAGTAGTGTACTGTATATTTCAGACAAATAGATATACTACTTCAAAACAATGAATATTACTACTGATTCGATGCTTGTGGAAATATTCTACAACTACAAGACATTAGGATGAAAATGGTGAGAGACAATATAACAAACGGGCAATCAAAATACTACAAATCAAAGAAAAACAGACAAGTCCAGACAAGAGAGTGAACAAAAAAAAAACAACATTCACGAAACACTACATACAAAACTAATAATTTTGCAACACGACCGGGAATGAACTTATGTGTACCGGAAGAGTCATTAACTATGGCTGCAATTGTGACATCTGCCGCCGTATTACTCCGGTTTAAACGCTGGAAAGTCAAATCTGGTAATTAGGGCTGAATGTTTGGCATGAGTATTGTCAATAAAGTCATTACTTTTAAACCATTGTTCTTTTTTCATTATAAAGCATCTTACAAAATCGGATTGATTAATGTTTTCTCAGTATATATCACCAACTTAATGAATCATATCAGTCATGTAACTTAACTCACACTAAAACTTAACGGAATTTGGAAGTATGAAAATAAAAACACTTTTATCTATTACAAAAGTAGGCAATACTGTCATCAGTCGAAAAAACCCTTCAGTCATTGAAGAATAACCTAGCAAAGAATACAATAATATTATTACTAAATTGAAAGAAACAAAAAAAAACCAAAAAACCCCTCTAAACAGTGAGTGAACTCAGTTGCTCCAGATAACTGACAGTTTTAAATATGCGAGATTCGGACTGATGAAACTTCATACTATATGGCTGTCTGCATAACAAATGCACAAAAATATTTTCTGCTAAACCACAGGTGCTTCGAGAATGGACCCCTCTTTTTATTTGTATCTTAGCCAGAATGTTAACAACGAGAAAAACGAAGTTAAATACTAAAGAAATAAAAAGGGGGTCTATTCTCCAAGCGCATGCGTTACGGAAGTGCTCTTTGAAGCCAAAAAAAAAATTAATTGAAATTGAATTAAAAGTGTAAGAAATACATAGGTACTTGTGGACAGGGCATTTATTTTTGTTTGCCCTCCACCTTATTTCCAAAATCCGTTTTTTCTTTTTTTTTCTATTAATTATCATTCTAGTGATATTATTTGAATTGATAGTAAATAGCAAATACAACTTATTTGTAGTATACGTATTTTCGTATAATACAGAAAAACGCGAAAATAATTGAAATTAATAGAAAACAAAAAATAACAGATTTTGGAAAAAAAGGGGGAGGGCAAAAAAAATTTGTCCTGTACCCAAGTACCTATGAGAGGATGAACCACATAGACCTAGACACATCAAATAGTATGAACATAATATGTCTACTACTAATAGAATAGTTTCCTACTCAAGTCTTAAGGGAAAAACTGGACAATCTGCGAGAGAGAAATTTTGCGTTATATGTCAAATTAGCTTTATAAAAAAAATCTTACTGAAACAAAATCTTGTGTTTTGAAACCATTAGCTCTATCTTGCTCAAATATTGGATTGAACCATTCAAACAAGGAGTGGTAAAGTCCAAAATGCATGTCTGTATTCTTCCGAATAGCGTCTGCAACCTCTCCTGAAATTAAAGATATCACACAACAAATAAAATTAACTGATTTCCAGTTTCATTTTAATTATATATTTGTATTGCTATAGCAACTTACTCTATTGCACGGTTCGGCTTATGTTTAACTTGTTCTATCAGCGACCAAAGTATATAACGCGTACATTGTACAAGTAATACATTGAACAATATATCAAAAAAATGTGGACCCTCAACAGTCTCGAGTCTGTTTTACTGGGTATCAGCTGTGTATGCAATTCTATTTTGTCCGTATATAAAATAAAACTACTAATGTTGAAATCATGAAAATGTTTTATTTTAATCAGTTAACATAAAGTTTGTCATTTATAAATAACTGTATATGGCGACACTTTTTGCTCATTATTGAGCCATCATGTAGCGTGTAGTTTCCAGTTGCAGTCTTCCTTATACTTAATATGTATATGACCAGCTGTTATGGCGTCATTTTACCTTAATATATCGTTGATACATCTTAGTAATAGAAAGAGATAAATCTTTTTATCACATGTTCAAGAAATAACCATGATAACTGTGTAATATGTTTCTTCTTATTTTTAGGAGAGAAAAAAATGATATATATCAAATAAAATGAGCACCCGTTTACTGCATGGCAATATGACATACTCCACATGTAAACTATTTTTATTAGTATAATGGTTTTGTACTGCCGTTTCAGTGAAAGTTGTTCAACTTCTAGTAGCACCTGTTTTCTATGTTGTGCTTTGTGTTCTGTTGTTTGTCTTTTCTTTTCGTCGTTTTTTGTCATGACATTGTAAGTTTGTTTTTTGCCATGACATTGTCAGTTTGTTTTTTGCCATGACATTGTCAGTTTGTTTTTTGCCATGACATTGTCAGTTTGTTTTCGACTTATGAGTTTGAATATCCCTTTGGTATCTTTCGCCTCTCTTTTTCAAGAAAATAATGATCTTCTATACTTCTATTGATACTAATTATGCAACATTGTTTCAATAGAATTTATTTTTAAATATGCACCAAAACTTTTTTACATGCGTAATTATCATTTAGAGTTTTTGAACGCATTTTCAAAGATCTTTCTTTTAAATATAACCAACGCTGGCTAACAGGTTAAACTACAAATTTTTCTATGACACTGTCATGATTGAATTTAAACATGTCCAATGATAATTAAAAATATGTATTTGCTGACCATACCAACAATATCTCTTTTAGGGCCGACATCCATACTGTTCCAGTTCCAGGAATAGTTGGAGGGCCACATGGTATAACCTTCATGGTGCTTGGCAACTAATACTACATACCTGCAAAATGTAAATGATGTAAATGTTCAACTAATAAACACTATGTATATTGAATTATTGTCTTCCCGTACGCTTGTTTGCAGATAGCCTTTCCGCATGCAGTGACCTTAACAACGAGACCTCTTGTTAGTACTTCGGCAACCACACAGCGCAAGTGCGAGGGGAAAACCGGGATGAAATAAAAGGTAAACAAACGTGGAAGTTTTGAAGGAAAAATTTGTATACACCAAATCATTTAACAACTGTTTTGAAAATCACGGAAAATGTATTAAAAAATGAACATGCATCGCTCTATTGCATGTCTATCATCTCACTTCTATATTTCACGTGATCCATGATTCTGTGTTTATTATTTATTAAGTTAATGTTCGGTAAACTTCGGCAATAAAGCACGAAAGTTAATTATCAGGGAAAGTTTTCACTAAATGAAATAACTGTAAAAAACAGATCGTGCATAGAGACTTATAAATAAGAAGATGTGGTATGAGTGCCAATGAGACAACTCTCCATTCAAGTCACAATGTATAAAAAGTTAACAATTATAGGCAAAGTACGGCCTTCAACACGGAGGCTTGCCTCACACCGAACAGTAAGCTATACAGGAAACAGGAAAACCAACGGTCTAATTTATATTTTTAAAATTTAGTTTAGTATATATACATGCATAGGCCCTTTATAGCTTGCTGTTCGGTGTGAGCCAATGCTCCGTGTTGAAGGCCGTACCTTGACCTATAATGGTTTACTTTTATAAATTGTAACTTGGATGGAGAGTTGTCTCATTGGCACTCATACCACATCTTCCTATATCTATTGGTTCAATAATTTCCTTAACAATTTTCATGATGTTAACCATGTTAACATTATAATTTTAATACGCCTATGTCATATGACATTCCAAGTTTCATTTAATGAGTAATCTTTGCCAAAGTTTCAAACAATTGAGGTTAGATAATTTATTGGTCATGTAGGGGACGGTTTACCCCTTCAAATTTTTATTGATTGACCGGTTAATTGTTGTTAAGTGCCACTTTTAGCACTTTTGGCTACATATTGGTGGTAATTTTTATTGATGCGGGAAGCCGGTGCTCGGACCGAACCATTTCGTCAGGAAAACTGACTAAAACAATCTTAGTCAAATTACAATTAGAGATGAACCTGTACCGAGCTGGGTTAAAACTCACAATCATGAATATCAGTGTTTAAAATTTAAAGGCAAAATGAAATGGAAACATGTAACAATGTGAAACAATATTTGTTCTCTTTGCAAGAATAATTCAATTAATTCTAGCAAACCGATAGTATATTCAACAACTTAGCTCAACATTTGTTCAATGCAAATCAGAATATTGTAAGTAAAGGAAAAGAATAAGTTACACATACGTCCCTCCTCATTCTGTATTCTTGTCATTATAAAATATACAAAATGCTGTTGAATATTGGTTTATACTGTGTACTCAAAAGTGTTCACGCGTATTATACTTGTCCTTAATGTTTGTTTATATTATTTAACATGTATTTTTTTCAACCGTCGGTATTACAAAAAAATTCGTAAGGATTCCACGGAACCCACTGTCTCGCCTACTTTTGCTGTTAATCGCAGGCTCAACAAAAATGAGATGAGGAAAAAATTTAATAAAAATATTCTTCTCGATACAATTTTTTTATTGTGAGAAGCTTCTGTCCAAGTTTGGTAAAAATCCAGGATAGTTTATGAATCTAATAAATGTTTTTAAAAATTTAACTGCAGACTGTATGTAATGTTGGAAGAAAAACTAAGTCCATTTATAAGTAAGATACGGAAAAACAGGATTTTTTTTTTAAATTTAATTCTGGATACTATCTTATGATCATAAACAAGCTTCTGTCCAAGTTTGGTAGAAATCCAGGATAGTTTGAGAAATTTATTAAAATTTTAAAAACTTTAACCACAGAGTGAATGTAATGTTTCCTGGCAAAAAAACTAAGTCCATTTATAAGTAAAATATGGAAAAACAGGTATTTTTTTTTTACAAAATTTACTTCTGGATACTATCTTATGATCATAAACAAGCTTCTGTCCAAGTTTGGTAGAAATCCAGGATAGTTTGAGAAAGTTATTAAAATTTTAAAAACTTTAACCACAGAGTGAATGTAATGTTTCCTGGCAGAAAAACTAAGTCCATTTATAAGTAAAATACGGAAAAACAGGAATTTTTTTTTACAAAATTTACTTCTGGATACAATCTTATGATCATAAACAAGCTTCTGTCCAAGTTTGGTAGAAATCCAGGATAGTTTAAGAAAGTTATTAAAATTTCAAAAACTTTAACCACAGAGTGAATATTTGTGGACGCCGCCGCCGACGACGACGACGCCGACGCCGACGGAATGTAGGATCGCTATGTCTCGCTTTTTCGACAAAAGTCGAAGGCTCGACAAAAATGTATTACAAAAGTCATGTATTATATACTACGAATGTTTCTACTTACTAAAGAAAAAGTTTAATCATGCATGAAGTTTAAATACCAGCTCATCATCATTATAGACAGGAAATATATGGATAATTTAAGATTCATTATTATTATTATAAGGTATTAAATATACAATAACTGAGAAATATGGCCGTGTTCACACCACATTTTTTTTTAGTTTTAATTACGAATGATGAATGTGCGTTCAAATTCCAAAATCATGCATACACATGACAAAATTTTAATTTTCACCAGGTTGAAATATCAAATTACTTGTTTTTTGTGCACAGAAGTACATGAATGCGTTACCAAGGCGAATATTGATTTTCAATACAGTACCCTGTTGTACATGTTATACATCGTATTAATTTTACTTACTTGGCTCCAGAAAGCTTCAACAAATTAGCCCATTCTTCTGCATCGAAAAACTCGGCTGTTAATTGTGGTGCAAAGTCTGGATAGGTGAAATCGGGTCGATAATTCTCTTTCATGAAGTCAACCAGAACAGGAGTCCTTGTTTTCCACTGATACCAGAACCATTCTGATAAAATCGAAGGAACAGAAAACACACCCCAATGAATAAGAATGCCGACTTTCGAATCATCGAACCAACCAGGCAGAGGTCGTGAGTCTATCGACTCCCAGTTTGGTTCATATTTTTTACATGATGTCTGAACAATGCAAACGAGCAGCAAAATCGAAGTTACGTAAATTCCAATTTTTACATGCATGTCTTAACAAGTGGCTGTGTCAATGTTGCTAAGCTATCCACCGTAAGATCAATTTCCCAAACGAACAAAATTATCCTTGGTGGATTAAACTGTTAATGTTAGTTTCGAAATTATACAATGAAGAATTTCCGCATCAGGACAATAAATTAGCGGACATATATAACTAAAAATAGATCGAGTCACATGAACTGAACTCACTAATAAAACTGAAAATCAACTAAGCATAAACATTATTGGAACTTGATATTTAAATCTAAAAATAACAATTCGAATCGATTGTTGTAATTTGTAAAATAAATCAATGATGTTATAAATTAATAACGTATGGACATTCATTAGATATGCTACAACAATGTATGTATGATGTCAATTGTAATGTAAAACTTTGAAAGTTAAACGTGTACATACTAAACAAGGAAGGGATATATACAAAGTTTGTATTATGCGCACGAAAAAAAATGTATTTAACTATACTCAGCAACCAAAGTAAAGCACCACCTCCACTTTTCATCAAATTCTGTGAAAATGAAAATGTTCTTAATTTTGATTTTTGACATCTCAAAAAAAAACACTTTTTTTAACACCCAAAAAAACCATAAAAATGTTGCCACATTTATAAAAACTAAAGTCGTGTGTATCTTTTCACATGAAAACAACGTAAATGACTTTGATTTTCAGTTTCTTAATCGAATTCTTGTCAAATGACCAATTTGAAATTGACTTATCTCAGACTTTTGATTTTTGACTTGTTAAGTATAAATAAAAACAATGATTCGTGGAATTGTTGATGTTGGAATGTTGGAATACGAGTACCCATCTCCGAACATTTTCTTTCAAAACTGAATAGTGTATTAAACATGTTATGCGAATCGAAAAAAAACATTTCAATTGTAATCTTTTAATCGGTATTTTAAAATATAGATACGTGTACCTCAATGAAAAGGGGAAAAAGGGGGGTAGAAATTTAATTAAAATATACAGAATATTGTCTGTATGCAGCCCAAGAAGATCCGACCATCAAGATGGAGAAAATAACAAACCTTTGAAATTCGTGGATTGTAATTATTGTGGGCGTGAACATTATTTAGGTGAAACAAATGAAATTACATACGAGACACCATTATTTACTTCGGATTTGATACATCAATGGCTTTTCTAACGACTCAAGAACAATGGAACTTGTTACTCATCGTTAGCTTAAAGATGAAATAGCGACCACATCACATGCAAAAGCATGCGTATGAAAAGGTATAGTTATATAGTGTGTAATTTGTATGATTATATGGTAGGTTTTCAAATTTGTAACCACCTATTCATCCAAGTATATGTTTTCTTCGATATGACCAGAAGCAGTATTTACGATAACTGCACACCAATATGAAATGTTAAAATATTATGTCCAAAATCCTTACATGGAATCTGCTGACGAGTCTGTATTATGAGTTTTAGAATTCATTAACGTCAAATATAACAAAATATTACGTTTGCATTATAGCACAAATAAAAAATCATAAATTTTACGGTGATGTTGTTTACCGAGCCCGGAAAATTAGTTATGATTCGGGTAAACTTATCAATCCTTTTAATAATCTTATTCTAAAAGATTACCAATTCAACATTGTTATTAGATCTTTGAATATTGTTTTATGTTGGTATAAATATTGATTTTATTATCAGCAAATTAAACCCATACTAATTAGTATTGATATACACATATATATGCACTTTCACGGTACTACCATCTGTCGATACCTATAATTTTGCATTACACAAGGTCATGTTTTTCTCTGACTATTAATGACGTCTTTACGCTAAATCCATTTGATGTTGGATGTGTACTGATTGATATTTTAGTCTAAGATACATGATTTTTTTTATTAGTTTTTATTGGCTTTGAACAAGCTGTCAGTAACTGCGAGTACTCTCAGATCTGTACTTTGTGTTATTTTTTGTTGTAAGGGACGCATAAATAGCCTGCCACGTCCGGTCTGCGTTTTTGTTAGATGTTTTTTCTGCTTTGTATCGATCTGATGAGTTAAGTTCTTTTCAACTGATTTTTATAGTTTGTTCTTATGTTGTGCTGTAACGCCACTGTCCCAGGTTAGGGGAGGGTTAAGCGCTCACAAACATGTTTTACCCCGCCACATTCTTTATGTGCCTGTCCTAAGTCAGGAGCCTGTAGTTCAGTGGTTGTCGTTGATTCATGTTTGACATAATTGTTTTTCGTAAATTGTTTTGTTATAAATTAGGCCGTTAGTTCTCTCAAATTATTTTTTCATATTATTCATGTCGGGGCTTTTTATAGCCGACTATACGGTATGGGTTTTTCTCATTGTTGAAGGCCGTACGGTGGCCTATGATTGCTTGGATCCACTTCCTTTGATATTTGGTGGACAATTGTCTCATTGGCAATCACCGCCTCGGTGGTCTCGTGGTAGCGTGTTCGCCTCGAGTGCGGGAGGTCGTGGGTTCGAACCCCGGCCGGGTCAAACCAAAGACTTTAAAATTGGTATTTGCTGCTTCTTCGCTCAGCACGCGGCATTAAGGAGTAAGAACAAAGACTGGTCGGCTCGGAGTCAGAATAATGTGTTCGGGTAAGGTGACATGTCTTCCTGCGGACTGTTACCTTGTGAACTAGCACGTTAAAAATCCGGCTCAGCGTGTTGGTCTAGTACAAAACAGGGTTAATATTCATATTACATTAACGTGTTCTCGTCCTGAATATGCATATCAATTTGCCGCTGGACGTTAAGCAGCCATCCATCATCAGCATTGGCAATCATACCACATCTCCTTATTTTTATACTGTAGTTATTATGTTGAAATATGAAAGTATCGAGGAAAGTATTAACATGGAATATATCACGTAAACTCACATGTATTAATATAGTGTAAAATAAAAAACTCATGAGAATAATTATGTAAATTGAAAAAAAATAATTGGTGCTTAGGGCACTATACAAAATAAATATTAACATTCTAACAGCGGACTCGGACTTCTTTTAAACTGAATTTTACTGTGCGTATTGCTATGTGTTTGTTAATTCCTCATTGGCTTGAGGTATAGGGGGAGGCTTGAGATCTCACAAAACATGTTTAACCCCGCCGCATGTTTGCGCCTGTCCCAAGTCAGGAACCTCTGGCCTTTGTTAGTCTTGTATGTTTTTTTTTTTTTTTTTTTTTTTTTTTATTTTTGTCTCATTTATATGTTTCGGAGTTTAGTGTAACGTCCATTTCGCTGAACTTGTATACATTGCTTTTTAGGGGCCAGCTGAAGCCCGCCTCCGGGTGCGGGATTTTCTCGCTGAGTTGAAGACCCATTGGTGGCCTTGGGCTGTTTTTGCTCTTTGGTTGGGTTGTTGTCTCTTTGACGCATTCCCCGTTTCCATTCTCAATGTTATCAAGGTAACAAAAATATCAACAACTCGATGCCTATACTGGCCTTCAATGATACGCCTGTTTAAATCTGTCACAATCATGCGGAAAGCTTATTAAATTGCAACACTCAGAATTTGAGTGTTATTTGCCGAATATCCACCAGTGGCAAATATTTCACGCATAATCAGGATGACAATCAATGAATACATGACGTCACAAGAAGGTCAACTTTTTAATAACAACATGTCAGCATAAAAATAGTACAAAACAAATAAAAGTAAAAACTATAAATAAAAACAGACAATGAATGCAATTATTGAGGTATACAGTTACACAAGAGATTTTTAATTGATAAAGTTTTCACCAATCTAAAAAAAAGTCCATAAAAATGCTGCTATATATATATGGTATGCTTCCTATAATTATATATTATGTAAAAGTTCATAAAACTGAACGGAATAACGACAACGTTGTAGGTATGGTCTTATATAATATCAGCTCGAGTGGATGTTGTAAAGTTTCAGATGATATATGAAAAAATCTATGATATGCATCAACTCTGGTTTAACATAGTGAAATGATATTACATAATCACTCATACTGTCTGGGCCCTGTAAATGAGAAAGACGACGAATATTGTAAATCCAAAAAAACAAAAATGATATAGAATTAAAAGAGCTTCAAAAATATGTCGTGTCTAAGATTTTACAAAATCAAATTAAAAGCTGTTGTTTTTTTCTATCTTTTTTATTGGCCACTGAACCGTTTTTATTTATGTTACATGTAGCATTTTTTATACCGCTCACGTGTGATGAATGTATATTATGCTTTATACGAGGTAATGGAGCTGTAACTTTGATATATACATGTATGGTATTTCAAATATAAGATGAAATTGTCACACTTATGTACCCCAAGGGTGACCTAAGAATAGATATATTACATTGGCTAGAGGTATAGGGGGAGGGTTGAGATCTCATAAACATGTTTAACCCCGCCGCATTTTTGCGCCTGTCCCAAGTCAGGAGCCTCTAGCCTTCGTTAGTCTTGTATTATTTTTAATTTTAGTTTCTTGTGTACAATTTGGAGTTTAGTATGGCGTTCATTATCACTGAACTAGTATATATATTTGTTTAGGGGCCAGCTGAAGGACGCCTCCGGGTGCGGGAATTTCTCGCTACATTGAAGACCTGTTGGTGACCTTCTGCTGTTGTCTGTTCTATGGTCGGGTTGTTGTCTCTTTGAAACATTCCCCATTTCCATTCTCAATTTTATATATGGTCTATTTCGTCTTCTTCCAACCGACAATAAAACACTTTCCATAGTGGGGCGTTCGAATTGGCTGTGTTGGGTTGTACAAATACGCAACCATGTCCGGTCAGAATGGGGACGTTACCTCCGATGCCTCGTGAAAAGAGAGTGTCACGAGTGGCAAATTTTTTTACCCTATCCATTATACCCTCATTTTTCAGTTGCAGTACAAATTTCCCCGACCTTCATCCCGTACAGCCTCTGTTGCATGACCTACCTACTGTATTTATTGTTAATTTTCTCGTCCTAAACATGCATGAACTATTTGCCACTGGACATTTAGCAACCAACAATCAATCAACCAATTAATCAAACCTAATTAAATGTGTTGCATGACAATTTTGCCCTTTATAGTAACCTGCATAATCTTGGTACTCCATTTACCAAGTCTTCACTGTTTCACACATATCCTTGATTTCAGCAAATACACCAGATTCAGTATTCTGTGCATGCTTTAATGGTTATGGAGGTTTTCTTTGGTTAAATTATTTAGATTACATTTATTTAGTATTAAATGTTTATTTGTCGACTCTTGTATCCATAATGTATTTTCAGTTGATTTCCTCTTAAATTACTATTCGCGGTACTGACCTGGCTCAAAGGGAGTAATGCTTAGAGGACAATAAAATAAAATATAATACGTTATTATAGCCAGTTGGACCCCGCCACATAATAATGTGCCTGTCATAGTCAGAATCTGTTAGTTGTCAATGTAAATTAGCATAACTTACGGTTTGTTTCCTGTGTGTGTTTTCTAAAAGAATCGGAAGTTGATGGTATAACTCTAGAAGGCCTAATCAGACATTCATTCGCATCTCGTATAGAATCATGCACGATGATTTAGAGCTTGACATTCTTTCGTGTTAAACGTTTTACCTTGACCTCTAGATGGTTTTTAATTCCTTTTGTGTTGTACGGTTGCTGTCTTGTTCACATTTATAATCCACATCTAATTATATTATATTCTTACAATTTTATTTAGGGGCCAGCTGAGGACCACCTCCGGGTAGGAATTTTCTCGCTGCGTTGAAGACCCATAGGTGGCCTTCGGCTGTTGTCTTCTCTTTAGTCGGGTTATTGTCTCTGTGACTTATTCCCCATTTCCATTCTCAATTTTATTACTACGACGGATTCCTAATTACGCAATGTAGTTTGTCACCACAAACTTATCTTCCATGCAGTTTTGCAAGTATCACGTCTATGTTGCATATTTTCACTCGATTGTAATATTACCGAGTTTATAGAATGATGTGATTGGAAATACTTATCTTGCCAAACTTTATTCATTTGCCATGTATAACTATTAGAGACCTTTCATAGCCTATTTTACAGTATGGGTTTTGCTCATTGGGAAAAGCCGTACGGTGACTTATAGTTGCTTACATCTACGTCCTTTGGTCTCTGCATTCTCATTGGCAAGTATACTACATCTTCTTAATTTGATATTAAAAACTAGTTTTGTTTGATTTAATGTAGTTTTCAAAATTGAAAATCTGATTTACAATTTTCTTTTTTTCACTGTTGCTTTAAAGCATTTAATTGATATAGTAAATGTCCTTCATTTCAAAATCAAGTTAACTTAACTAAAGGATTTTTTTGTTACTGTGGGTTCATTATTATTCGTTGGATATCAATTTTCACGGTTTTCGTGGGTAGAGGTGAACCACGAATTTAGATGTTCAACGAACTGCAGATTTTCTATTAGGTTATATGCAGACTTTGGCAAAACCACGAAATCACATATCCACGAAAAGGCAATTTTTCTGCAATCCACGAAAATTGGTACCCACGAAATGAATCCACAGTATTCGTTTATTTGTTTATTGTTTTGACTGTTTTATATTGTTATAGCTCTGATATGACTCCAACACTTCAGAATTCGTTTTATTCAACAATTTATGAGTTACCTTACTCAGCGTCTTCGTGTTGTATTCATAATACCAAGAAGGATAAGTCCCAAACAAGTATTTGTCTATAGTCAAATGATGAAATCTAGTACGATGTTGTTCATCTAAGGTATTTCCAATTTTTACACCGAATTTAAGTAGGCATTTAGAAACATCAACATCTTCAAACTCCCCATCTTGTTTACATTCTTCAATGTTGTTTCCTCTTGTTCCCAGTTTTATTAATGCCTCTTTACTCAAAACGTAGCCCGGTCCTCCTGTGTTGAATGATTGTTTTGTATCAGGTTTAACAAAGTGTTGTCCAAAGAAAATAGGTTCACTTGTATTATAATCTTTTAATAAATATTTCAGGTTTTCTACAATAACATACGTGTCATCGTCTGCCTTAAAGAACCAATCGGCTTTATCTCTGTAGTGTTCAAACACATGCCTCCATGCTTGCATGGATTTATCAGTCAAGTGATTATGCCCCTCTTGTGTACGAAGACCTATCGCTGGAAAATCCTTATCTGGTTTAGAACTCATAAATAGCAATATATCACAGCGTTTTCCCCAAGTATTTTTGACGTGGATAGCAAAGATGTGTAAGTTATTGGGACAAGTCATTATCCAGCACAAAATTCGTATATCTACACCGTGAATTCCATCAGCTTCTACAAGATGTATTCATACATAACTGTTAGATTCTGCCAATGAAAATCTTAATTATAAAAGATAATACCGGTACTTGAATAGAATATTGTAAACTGGAGTTTCTTCTTGGATATATTACTAGTATTTCACTTTTTTCGTTACATACCCAATAAATAAACCCTTAGTTGCTAATATGTCGATTGGTTATTTGTCGTAGGATTGCTGTCGCATTGACGTTTACATCCCTGTCTCCTATTATCCAAAGAAGGACAATGTATTGTGAACACATTTTTTGATTTGATTCTAAATGAATCAAATGTTCTTTCACAACTGATGCCTACCTCATGGTCACTACATGTAGTACAAATAAAGGAATACCAGGTACATATATGTATATTGTATCTAACTTAAAATTGTGTGAAGAACAAGGAGTACTAATAAATATGCAAATTTTATGCCAGCGTCTTTGAATATTTGGTACCTACAATGTACAACTGCGACAGAGAACTTTTATTCTTATTTGTTTAGATTTTATTTTTTTATCATTAGTTGAATAAAACGGACCCCCCCCCCCCTTTTTTTACAAAAAAGAACCCCAAAAAAGCCAATTATAATATAACTATGCACTAATGTTAACCACCATGTGCATATGTGTAATCGGGGGTTGGCATTTCAAAGATAGATGCAATTGCCATAGAAGCAGAAAGAATGGGGAAAAGTCTTCCAAACTGAATGAAACTTTGTGGAAATATTTACTGTCATGTGCACATGTGGTATTTGGATTAATTTTTTGGTTAAAATGGCCGTCGTTACCATGGAAACAGTAACTGAATAATTGACCATCGACACATTTCTTCCAGTATTAAATCCGTTTAAAACTATTCTTATGATGGTAACATGGCATTTCCCGCGTTTTTTTTTTTTCGTTTTTTTGTTGTTTTTTTGTTGTTTTTTGTTGTTGTTGTGCTTTCACTTAAATAGAAATACAAAGTGTACTTACTTTCAGGTTTTAAAGTCGTACTAATGATATCCACTGAATTTCTATGTGATTTTATGTTGTGGGTCTTATTACTTTCCGTAAATATCCAGCTATTGTTTGTTGTGAAATCTTTGCTCTTTCTGACTAATACTCCACCACCAAGCCTTCTTGATATAGTAGTTGTATACATCATCGTATATGATATTGCACAGAAAACGATACACACAAGAGAAATTAAACCTATAACTTTCAAATTGAGTACATGTATAATGGTGTTGCTAGTTGAATAATGACATTTCTGGCTTCCGTATTTCTGAAATTGCATGACGTCTTCTCACAAATTGAGAGTATAAGGTTCTACAGCTGTAAATTATAAGTTCATGACTTTGTGTAAATTTTATCATCACATTTTTCTATCAGATTGTATTCAGACCAGATGTTACTTAATCTTTCTGAATTAAGTTTTTCGATTTTAGTATTTATTATCTACCGTAAAATTTGATCAATGATTTCTTACAAATGAAAAAGTAAAGTAAAAATTATATATACATCATGTGTACATTTGTACTTGGTTTTTATGAGATAGAAATGCTTTTACAATGGTTTACTATTACTTAAGCACAATGAAACATACATGAAATATGTGAAATCTGATCAATGTATGCATCTCCTTATCTTATTTGTATAAAAAGTATGTTGCTATATAACATATGTTTGTATTAAGAGATGGTGTGTATATTTGTCCTCTCGTATCACAAATAATATGAATTATTACTGTTACAGCTGTTTTGATTCAAGGGGCCGGATCCGGGATGGTGGCGAATGTTTCCTCCTTTATGAACTAACGTTATAAAGATAATATGTCGTACGATTGACAATGAGACAACTCTCCATTAGAGACCAAATGACATAGAAGTTTACAACTATGGGTCACCGTACGGCCTTCAATAATGAGCAAAACCCATACCGCATATTCAGCTACAAAAGACCCCGTAATGACAAATGTAAAACAATTCAAACGAGAAAACTAACGGCCCGATTAATGCACAAAAGAATACAAGAGAAACAAATATGATATACAACTACAAACGACAACCACATTAGTTTATTTTAGTACATTTTCATTTTTTTACTGTTCTCAGTTTTTGGACTCATTTTTTGTCGTTTTGCCCTTTATGCCAATTTTGTTTACCACTACTGCGCCCTAATAAGGACTTTCCTACAGGGGAAAAAAATCTAAATTTTATGACACATTAAATGACATGCGTTTTTTTTTTCTAGAAATCATTCTACAATTATTTTTTTTATTATTATTAGTATTAGTTACACGGTATAATGGAACCATCTGTTATTTTAATACTAACATTGAAACCAACTATAAAAAAATGAACAAATTGAAAAAAAACTTAAATATTCACTTTTTAATCAATTTAATGAAATATATTCTTATATTCATTAACATTTATTTTTCCGCTTGGAGGAACAGCAAAAGCATTTAATTTTTATGGTAAAGCAGCTAATTTGATTTTCTCCGTATGACTTCTCACTTACAATATACATAATATTTCTTAATGTAATGTCCATTTGTTTATAAAGTATTTACATTTGGATATAATCCATTGAAACTATATATGTTTATGAAACAAACTGACTTGTTAAGGTAGGGTTATCAATACGACATTGATCTTTGAATATCGTTTTGCTTATTCATGAGGGTCTGGAAAGGGATGTCTTCATTTCTGCATCATTTAAACTTTGAGGTCATTTACTCTTATTATTCTTTATGTGTTTACCCATAATTATTCTATATATTCCTCATGTTTACTACCCCCATAATCTCTTTTAACTATTTTTTTCCTATTTTCTTTCCATCCTTTATTTTTATTGTCCCTTTTTTCTCTTTTCTGTAGCTCAATCCAGGTCGTCATGTATTTTAACGACAATGCGCATGTTGTCTTTATCTTGAAGCTCTATCTTTTATCTATTTACGTTTTCTTTAGTGTGCCTGTAATATCGCTTTGTATGTAAAATAGGGAATAACATTTGATGCAACAGAAATAAGTTGAAATTAGATATTTCCAATCACCTATGTACTTCAGCTGAAGTAGTCCAGTTTTCCCTTTTAGATTTAGGGATGGAACAAAATCATGTAGGGTTTGTGTTTGGGGGGAAATTTAAAATAAAAAACAAAAGGATTTTTATGTGTTGATTAATACAGTAAAATTACTCAAGTTTTTCTTCTGTTTCCTGTTAACAGCATTATTATATATTAACCTATAAGCCAATAATTTGATATAAATGATATAAATGATATATGATTGCCGATGAGACAACTCTCCGCAAGAGACCAAATGACACAGAAATTAACAACTATAGGTCACCGTACGGCCTTCGACAATGAGCAAAGCCCATACCGCACAGTCAGCTATAAAAGGCCCCGAAATGACCATGTAAAACAATTCAAACGAGAAAACTAACGGCCTAAGTTATGTACAAAAAATGAACGAAAAACAAATATGTAACACATAAACAAACGACAACCACTGAAATACAGGCTCCTGACTTGGGACAGACACATACATACAGAATGTGGCGGGGTTAAACATGTTAGCAGGATCCCCCCCCCCCCCCCCTAACCTGGGACAGTGATGTCATTTTTCATTTTGTTGTATGACATAATATGTTACACGGGAAACCAAGATCACGTTGTATGAATGAATGAATTTATATCTCATAAAAATACAATTAGTAATACATAGTTATACAGAACATAAGGTCCAATTATATAGGTGTATATTGTGTAAACAATGCAATGATATTAAATCGGAGGACTGACTTTCACATTTATAACTTTGATAAGTTTACATGATATTTCTAATATAACAATATTTGATAGTTAAATAGTTAATCAGACTTTGTCCTAAGTCAGGAATCTGATGTTCAGTAGTTGTCGTTTGTTGATGTGGTTCATAAGTGATTCTCGTTTCTCGTTTTTTATATAGATTAGACCGTTGGTTTTCCCGTTTGAATGGTTTTACACTAGTAATTTTTGGGGCCCTTTATAGCTTGCAGTGCGGTGTGAGCCAAGGCTCCGTGTTGAAGACCGTACTTTGACCTATGATGGTTTACTTTTATAAATTGTGACTTGGATGGAGAGTTGTCTCATTGGCACTCATACCACATCTTCTTATATCTATTTGATGTTAAGGTGAGCTGGTTAAGGTTGACCAAAAGTGTTGTGGTAAATTTATCATTCTTTCTAACTCCAATGTTCTACAAATTGTGATGTAATAGTTCTCGTCACCAATGTCGTTTGAGTCACAGAGACGACCAATATCAGTCAATGTTGCAAACATAAACATTAAATAAAATTGATCGTTCCTTGTTATAATATGTACCTGTACGCCACATCTGTTGTCACGTTAGTTAACAGAATGGGGTTTGTAATGTTTATATACTGACTTTTATAATTATCTTACTTTTTACACGTGTGATTTAACCGTTTTTATGTGTGTGAATTTTGCCTTTCATTTGCAATGTCTTTTTATCGCATTTTGGTAAATTATGACGTGATTAGTTTAAGGTTACACGATACCGAATGACGTTACGCCACGAGTTATCCTTCCTGCTGTTGTCGACATCTTTGAAATTGACGGCATACGTAAAACCTTATGTTTTATAATAACTTAGAACGAATTAAACAAACAATTTGCCTCAGTCTGGTATAAAATAGTTGAAAGATAAATGTTTCTTTATTTCAAATTTGCAAATAATATGTGATTATATATTAAAAATACCTTCATTTTAGCGTCGCTTTCTATACGTATCATATCCAATCACAAAACTAAAAATCTTGCATAATTAGAACAAAAGTGAGAGAAAAAAAATCATACTTAGGTGAAATATAAACAGTAAATTAACCTTTTAATTTTATTAATATTATAATAGTAACTTTGCATAGATGCAGAATGTCGAGGGATTTGATGCAATACGTTATTTGAAATTGATTGCTTCGGCGTCTTCCTCCCTTTCTTCTCATTCTTCACATTTAAATATATACTTTTTAAATGTTCTGTTTCTATTGATAAGTAAGCATTTGTACGATTTATCTATACATGTTCTTATTCATAACAGACTGAGTTTTTTATTCTGGGTTGGGTTTTTTGTTTTGAAATACATTCTTATTAAGGATGCACGCCGTTTCCCGATGAAATTTTGTTTTGAAAGTAGAAATCCAAATTTTAGAAACGCATGATAATGTATGAAAATACGGGGAATTGTATCACAATTAATGCAATTCCGCTAAGAAGCTCATTCGTTTTTAAATAGTCACCGAAAAACGTCGCTAGCAAAATAGAAAAGGGAAATTTATTAGGAAAAGAATACCGATAGAATTTAGCGAAAAAAAGCACCATGCATGACGTACAAACTCAGACAGAAACTGGTTTACTGGCATGGAATGAAAAAAGAGAAGTAGTTGAAATTGGCTATTTGGCCGAACAACTTTCTCTATGTTTCAAGTGTAAACAGTCTTAGAAATTTATTGGACTGTACAGAATAAATCCGATATGGTTTCGGAAGCTTGTTTAAAATAAACTACTAGCATTGTAATCTTGTAAGCACAGTCTAAACAGGACAGCTACATCGGAATAAGGAGAAAGTTAACAAAGGCTTAAACGTATTGGATGTCAACACTAAATGTGCACTCGGTTAGGTCGAAATAAAATTTAATCATTCAGATCTCGTTACATCTTTTTCTTTCAATTCAATTCTGAAACAAGTAATAGCTTTTCTAAAAAGCTAGCCGTCTTTAGCTGATGAAAGTGGAAAATATTTTCGCTTTGTAGTTTAATAAATTTAGAATAGCCTTGTATAGAAATTGAAGTGGATTACAAAACTTATAAAAGGCTTATACAATTTTTTAGATTTACCAATATCTTTTTTGGGGGAATGCATGAACGCTGGAAACGGAGGGGTAATGTCTTAATCATCTGCGTTTGTAGCAAACCTTTGAAAATATTTTTTTTTATTTTCACAGTTTTTTCTGATAGATGGACTTAGTTTTTTACAGGTAACATATACAGACAGTCTGGTATAAACTTTCTTTTTTTGACATTTTTAAGCCTTCATGGATTGTTATGAAACTTGGACATAAGCTAATCTTCAAGACCAGGAAAAAGCATCTAAATAAAAAGTTGGAAATTTTTTTTAAAGTTCTTTATACTGATAAATGGACTCTCTTTTTAAGTCAACATTGCACTTTACGCTGATAGCAGCAATCGCAGGCGAGACACAGGGTTCCGCGGAACCCCTTGCGATTTTTTTGCTATTAAGATATTTTTTACATGTATTCACAACTATGCTACATATTATAGCTAGACTTGGGAGGATAAATGTAATG